GACCAGTTGTTATAAAGACGATGCTCTGTAACTGACACTGGAGGAATGTTGTCGTACTGGACTCAGGCCAGGTGTCGGTGTGAGCGCACGCTGCAGCAACGGCAGCCGTGTAAATCCCCTCAGGCCTCCGGGTAAAGTGTGTGTAGTCAAAATATGTGTTGATTCATCAACGGGAGAATCTGTGTCACATACGTGTGAAAGTGCTCCAATTATTAAACACGTGAAATGAGTTAATTGCAAAATAAAGTCCAAATGTGTCATGAGTTATAGAAACGTATTATTATTGTGATTATATCATTATTATCTCCTCACACAGAGGATTCACTTTCAGACAATGCTCAATATTTTAAATTATTTTTAATTGTTGCATTGTTGTTGTAGTTCTATCTTGTGTTATATCCCATAAATAAGCTGCGGATCATGTCTCTTACATGATCTGTTGTAAAGGTTAATCACTAAATTATGTGATGCCGTTACAGTGACACTATTCTTACAAAGGGTCCTACGTCATTTTTCGATCAGTGTGAGATTCAGATGGTCTCTATTGTCCCGTCTGATGCAGAGTTTCCTGGAGAAACACATTTTTGAGTTTTGCATAACGTCATTTTCACTTCACATGATATGGAATCATTTTCTGATCAATGTGAGCTTCTGATCGTCTCGAACATTTGCAGGTCTGTTAAAGTGTGACTCGTGTGTGGCTCCTCTTTTTCATCCAGAGATATTTGTGTCTGTCATGTTTGAAACATCATCAACACGCCCACTCGCTCGCTGGGAGTTTTCCTGCTGTTTTGTCACAACGGCTCACTCAGAGATATTTTACCAGAGAGCTGCAGGAAAAGTTCTGGGAAACGTCCAGAGCGACCGACTCGGACATTTGCGTTCACATTTCCAGCTCCTCCTGAGAGTTTCGAGAGAACGTACGGACGTCAGTGCAGCTGGAACGTGAACATCATCTTTGCCTTCACCCAACATTTTATTGTGTGTGTTTGTATCCAGCTGGTACACACTTAAACATACTGTACACATCGTGATAACTAACGTGACCCTGGTGAAAACTGTGACACCTCTATAAACGAGAGAAGAAGTGAAGTGATGTTCGACTGCTCACGTTGCTGTTTGTTACCCTCATGATGATCATTGACTGGAAGTCATGTGTCGTTCTGTGCAACGCTTCATTAACCTTACTCCGAGGGCAAAATAGATTACAGCAGAAACGAGAGCAGGAGTCAACTGGACTGAAACGCAGAGAATAACACGGGAGTCAACGAGAGAGGATAAATACAACCGAGCCGTGTTTCCCCGGGAGTCGGAGCAGAATTGAATCAAATGCACTTGAGCAGGTCTAAATAGGACAATAAAGAGCAGAGCAGTTCAACAACACGGGGCTGTGCAGCGCTGGGAGTCACATTCAACCATATATTCCTGCACTAGCAGCTATGCATCAGCCACGGTTCACAGATCACACACGACCCACAGTCAGAGGAGAGATAACTGTTGGAGCCCACAGACGTGGCTGCAAGGAAACCCTTTTTATAGCTGTTCTCTCTTTGCTGCAGATGTGTGTGTGAGCCGGAGGAGAGAGAAGCTCACCCGTGGAGCCTTAATCTTATTCTAAACACAAAAACAACGTCACGCTCCTTAATGTCAGGACAAAGCACAAACTGCAGTGTGTCCGTGAGCGGTTACACTGGAAGTGTAATGGTTTAATAAATGCTGCTGCGACTGTGGAGACTAGATTCATGCAACTTCCTGAGATTTAAGCTCCAAAGTATTTTCTGAATGGAGACCTGACCCTGTCACACAACTGCACCGTCTCGCTGATGAGCGTGGTTTCGTGTTTCCTCCGTCAGTAAAACCAAACAATCACCAACATTCAGCTGAACACAAACCAAACGTTTCTGCAGCATAACTTTGTCAAAGCTTCGGTTTTTGTGTTGGAGCAGCAACATATTTCAAGGACGTCTTATTAGTGAACAATGTGAAGGGAAATGTGGTTTTTATGGACAACAGCTTTACTTGAGTCTCTCTTTGCTCAACACGGAACAGCAGATGGAGAAAGTGGAGGATTTAGAGTCGTGTAATTTCAGCATCGGTATCAGAGAAAACCCAAACCAAAGAATGAGGTTTTAAAAAGTTTGCACAGATTCTCTTCGTGCCTCTTCTGTCCACAGGGTGACATTACTCACTGGTGCTTCAGATTGTGATGCTGGCGGCTTTGAACATTGTACCTCTAACCTTCAGGCCCAATATTGAGAACTCCTGTGAATTATGTTTTCGTGAAAACAAGTTGAAACCGTGTTTTTTTTCCTCTGACTGATCTGAAGCTGTCGTTGTGAAAGCTGCTGCCTGTCACCAGCCCGAGAGAAGAGTGTTGATTTCTGAAACTAAATGTGCTTCGACTGCAGCGCGCTGGATTTCAGGCTCTTTTCTCTGGCAGATTATCCCACTCAAATAGGTGTTTGTGCTGGGCGTGCGTGTTCGGTGTGTGTGGAGCCACGTGCAGAAAGGTGCTGATCCACCGTGCATTGTTGTCAGCGAAGGGCTTTGTCAAAGAGGAAATGTGTCATCGAGTAATCATGGGATGACAGACCCAAAAAACAGGTTTCAGACTGAGGCGGACACATTCTTTAAATTCTTGCGGTCGCAGATCTTGTTGCATTTGACTTTCCCAACCTTCAGCTGCGTGTTAGAGTCGATAACCCACATACAGGAAGTCATTTATCCTGATGATCTGATCGTCGGACCCATGTGGCAGCAGGAACACCAGACCTGGCCTCCATAAGTGAAGCCAAAACATCCTGATCGCCCCCTGGTGGCTGGCTCCACCTCCTCCATGTTAGTGTCAGGTAGTTCTTATCTCACTGACGTATGTTAAAGTGTTCATGTTCCTGATTGTTTAGGTTTTAATTAGTTATTTATTATTATTACACTTCACAATAAACATGGCAATGAAAAAGAAATGAAGGTGAGCGGATGTTAGGGACGTATTCACCTCGATTTGAATCACAACATATTCAGGTCACGTTGTTAAACTTAAGTTTTAGTGAATAAGTGTGTGTCGTCAGGGCCACCTTCTCTCTCAGGAGACGAGGAGCAGGCAGCACGGAGGCAGCGTCGCTGTAAGAAGCAGGTCACACGTCGTCATGTCTGACAAACTGGTTTTTCAGGACCGGGGTAAAAAGGTGTGTTGACGTGAATGAGAAACAAAGGAACACACACAACGTGTGTTTTAAGGAGACGATCGCTCCGTTCAGCTGAACTGTGACTCAGAGGCGTCACAAACTAATGGAATCTTACACATGAATGAACTCGAGTGTTTTAAATGTTTTTTTACTTTGTGTATAATTGTGTAACTGAACTAAAATATCATGTGGCTAAAGAAAAACCTTATCAGTTTCATCATGAGACATTTCTGCTCCAACGACTAATCCAAGATCACAAGGAGACACACACACACACACACACACACACACACACACACACACACACACAAACACAAACGCACACACGGATATGAGAAACAGTGGACGGGATTGTTGTGTTGTTGCGGCTCCAGTATCTCTATATCAGCACCTACAGTGCAGAACACAGAGTCAAATTAAAGCCACTATTTCTTTACTTTCACACACACACACACACACACACACACAGACACACACACAGACAAAGACATTGTTCTGTGGAGGTGTGGAGGTCAGCCCTCGTTCTGTCACTGTGCCTTTCTGTTGAACACAGTCTCTCTGTCGTGTGTCTGAATGGTGCTTTCACCCTTTGACTCAACAGGACAAATGCAGAGGCATCTATAATTTTTAACAAACGGACACACACACACACACACACACACATGCATCATGTGGGACACACACACAAGCACGTTGTGGAGTGGGAGAATCACGTTGTGATTACAGCGTGTCCCTGTTATTCCCCTGACTGTTTGTTGTGCAGATTGTCATCGTCATGGCTTTGAAAGTTGTTGTTAATGTAGATGAGCATTAGGCTGCTATGGGTGTGGGGGGTGGGGTGTGGGGGGGTTCTTCTCTGGAGGCGTCAGTCGATGACATTCTCGTCCCTTCGCTGAGATTTCCGCACGTTGACGTCTATTTGTCTGTAAGTCGGCGTGGCAGCCTGACAGAGGGATGAAAGCCTTGAAGGAGAGATGACAGAAGAAGGGATGACAGCAGGGAGGTCGGGGGTAGGAAGCGAGGATGGCAGCAGACGGAGGGGCAGCCAGAGGCGGCGATGATGGATAGAGAGTCAGGACTGCTTTGAGGAAATAAAGAAAGTGTGTGGGTGTTCCACAAGACATTATGTGAATGTGTAATTGCCCCAGGCTGTGTGTTCACTTCATGCTTGTTTGCAGTGATGGTTTTCCAAGACAAGAACCACGATGGTTTACGTTCACTGTGGCAGAGAGCATCTTTGAGAAAATCCTCACAACTCTGCAGGAAACCTCATCTGTTGCAAAGACCAGAGCAGAATCAATGAAACGATTCACTTTTGGTACCAGTAACATCTGTACAATCGAACTCTTACACACTTTTAAATAAGCAACAACCACTCTTTCCCTTTTGATCCCCACTGCTCGAGTTGAACTTTAATGGAGTCGTGTCTTTATTCTCGAGGTTTATTCGTTCATTTGTGTCTTTGTCTCTGAGTATTGGATTTTCAAAGCCCAAAGGAAGTTACCGAGCAAATGAGAAACATTATCCTCATTTGATTAGAGTGAGAACATCCGCAGCTGCTTTATCGTGACACTGTGCAGGGGAGGATTGGGCAAAGAGTGCACAGCAAGTTTAGTGCCTGAAGAAGAAAAATGTTTTGTTATCGTATTCAGATGTTAGTTTTAATATTTTAAATACTGTATTTAAATAAACCATAGAGTGTAAATAAAGATACGTCCCCACCTCCTCCAGATCCACAAATGAAACCAAACTATCCCCGATACAAACGCTGCCATCTTTATTTCTCTCTTGTTCACTTCTCTGCAGGACAACACAACAAGAACCCCCGAGATCTGATGCTTCCCGCCATCACCATGGAAACCGAGGCCAGTCACATGCTGGAGGCAGCGCTGGAGCAGATGGATGACATCATCGCAGGTAACCGCTGCCAGAGATTTCATTCGAAACGAAAGTGTTGCCCAAGTTGTCGATTGTTTGACACGTTGTGCAGCTCAACCTGCTTCATAGCAGCCCAACAGGAAATAGGCCGATGGTGAGGTTGTGCAGGAAACACTCACCACCCTGTCGAACAGCAGGGTTCCCAGGCTCCACTGTTTCTTCTGAACCAGTATCGTGTCGCTGCCGCTGGACTGAAACCTGCCGACCTCATCAGCAGCTCGTCGCTTTGCTGTTCCGGCTCTCAGCGACCACAAATAAAAGTGCATTAAAAATCCCATTTGCGATGGCATCAGCCGATCGCTAACAAGCTAATTAGAGCCACTTATCAACAGAGTTTAGAAACGTCGGTCGTGTTGGGCTCCGTGATCAAGAATCTGGTTATGATGTGGGAACAGCAGTGGGAGCACTCCACGGGTTAATGACTGTTGTTGATGTAACTGCAGACAGAGCAGTGACTCTCAACCTGAACCCCGAGTTATGAGGCGTCCATCGCTGGTGGTGTCCGCTTCAAACTGAGCCGCAGAGGAGAGGGTCGGAAAACCTTCTCCGGTGGTAATTGGGACAACACATGCTGCACCCAACCAACGTTATTACAGTGAGAGATAATATTAACTAATGTTATTATATTAACAACCAACATTATAGTAGTGACACGTGTGACAACAGCAGGACAGACGGGACAGATTGATCTATTGATCAATACAGTCGATCAGCGTCCCGGGACTTTTTGGCACCACTGCATCAAAACATGATGCTTTAAATTTTAAATAAACACGACGGATGATGAATTAAAGGAAGAAACTAAACTTAATCATTGATTTAATGAAAGAGTCTAATTTCAGGTGGTAAGTCTGAGTGGAATATTTACAACCTGACAGTAAATGATTTCAGATGAATCAGAGAAGTTTAAATTTGAACTTTTATTTTTTAATTTCTTTACATTTCAATGTTTGAAGAATTTCCCCACAGAGGAGAAGAATCTAGTGAACCTGTATCCGAGTGTTTCCGTCAGGTGACGTCTCATCGAGGAGGCGATGGCGCTCACCACTTCTGGATTTTTTAGCTGAATGGAAGCCAGCAGAGTACGTGGACTGACCCACGTCTGACTCAGGTCGTCCAACACGGCCTTGTCGAGGATTCTGAATCTCTCTGAGGGGACGCCAAAGTCAAGGTCTCTGACTTCGGCCAAGGTTTTCTCGTAGAGATATTCATGTGCGTCTGCGATGTTACTGCAGGTCCAGTACATGCCGGCTTTTTCATAAACCTCCGTGATGAGCTGGTCCACGATCGAACTGACGTGAAGCGCTCTCCTGATTTCTGTCAGTGTCGTGGCTTCGTTGACCTCCGCAACACCAGCGTTTCCTTTAGTGAAGATGGGAACGTTCGCAGATGAAAGAATTTCCGGGCTTTCCAGCGAATATTTATTATCTTCCATCTTTGTCTCCATCGGATCTGGACTTTTGTTTCCTGCTGGAGTTTCTTCACAATCTGGAGCAGTTGATCGACAGTGAGAGGCGACTGAACGTTGACTGTGTGAAACACGTCCGCAGTCTGAAGAAGGAGCTTTCTTCTTCTTAGTTCAATGTCAAAATGAGTCATTTTCAAAGCATCAAAGGACATGACATCATTAAACGACTGAAGGAGAAGCCTCCATTGAAATCATAAAATCACATTTTATATAAAATCACATTTTATATAAAATCACATTTTATATTATATTGTAAGATCCAAAAACTGCAGAAGCTGAATATTTAAAAGAAAGGGAATTAGTTAAAAAATAAAATCAAGGAGCAGAAAAGTCCTGAACAGTAAGAAAGAAACAGGAAACAGTGTGACTGCTGAATCTGCATTCACACCAATCAACTGTTTAACTAATTCACTGATTTACAGGATGCACGTGTCTTCTGTGCATCTTCTTTAAAAACGTATATAAAACTATATATATATATATATATTAATCTTTCTCCTCTCGCCTCCTCTCCAGGTTCACGAGCGGCAGCCGTGGAGTTTTCTAACAACATGTATGACCTGGGTTCTCCCACAAGCACCAGTCCTCTGCATGTGGTCCAGTTGGCCGAGGACCTGAAACTCGCCTTGGAGCTCCAACCCAACCAGGACGAGAGAGACAGTCTGAGAGCTCAGTTACAAACAGAGACGGCACAGGCTCTTATCGACTGGCTGCAGAGCGGAGCTGTGAGTATGACCTGTGTTGTTTTCACACCTGAACCAAGAACCGAAACGACCGAGGGACCTCGGATGAATTACAGCAGCAAGTTTCATAATATCTGTCCCGCTAAAGTCCGGACTTCCTCCAGAGTTCACGGCTTAGGAAACATTTGCAGGATTAAAAATGTGCAGAGAAAACATCTTTAACATTGTTGGTGAGATTGAAAATGTAACGCAAAGCTTGACAACTCATCTCTGAACTTCACTGACCTCAGAGAACACAGCCGGGTTAGAAATGACTCTGAGGCCGGTCCACACGTCAGTGTGAGTCTCTCTCAGAACAGAACAGACCTGCTGATGCACACGTTTGATGAATATATTCACTGTGATGCTTTGTGAGCGGACGACCTCTGGAAGAAGGAGTCAGATGATGACCAAACAAAGCAGCTGTTCACATTTCAGAAATCTTCCTTCTTTAATGCTGCAGCTCTTATTTCTTCTAGGATACTTGTTTCCTGATTTCCTGTTTCTTGTTTTAAAAAAACAGATTTAACTGATCTTTCATATTATAATCGTCAGAACACACGCACACACTGGACGATTTGTCCCGAACGTGGATCACACACTTTGTGAGAACAACTCACAGCCTCGTGCACGTTCTGCTGTGACCTGTCATCACGGAACAGGGACAGTTACAGCTGAGGTCAGACGGGGTCGGACGGAGAGGAGAGGAATTCATCATGTCTCTGTGAGGACGAACTCATCTGCCCGTCCTCCCTCTTTCTTTCTTTCTTTCTTTCTTTGTTTGGTTCCAACGTTCACTTTGACTCACAGATAAACACATTACGTTTTTATTTGAGATTTGAGCAAAACAACAACCTTCGCCGGCGACACACACATTAACCTCAGGCTTCCTCTGGGAATCCGATCGAACCCCTGGTTGTTGCCTCGGACGCCGCTCGTGTCTGCTCTGTTATTTTCTGCTCAACGACTTTGTCTCTCACCTCAATGATCCAAACCCTGATGGACTCAGTGTCAACCCTCAGCACTTCACCATTATTATGATGTTTGTAGGTAAACCTGCAGTGTTTTCATAGCGACAGAAGGAAAGAGGAGAAACCAGTGGAGAGGCTTTGGACACGTTCCATAAACTTTTCCCTGGGGGACGCTGCTACAACTCGACCATTATCAACTTCCTGCGCTGAGCTCCCTCCCTCACACCCTCTGTCTTTTACCAGCCGCTCTAACTGCTTTACAACATCCCTCGTCATTTCATCTCTTTTTTCTTCACTCTCTCTTTTCCTGCTGCTCTCCCCCCTCAGTCGCTCCCCCGCATGTTCGGAAACTCCCCTACTTTCTGATTTGAGCATGTTTGGAAATTAGGTACTTGCTGTTGCAGAGAGACTCTTTGAAAGAGGATATTTGAGGTAAGGTCAAACGACTCACCCTGGGCTGGTTAGTTCTGGATTGAGTGCATTATTTCTTCCTGTGTATCTGATGTGAAGTGTCTGTTTTCTGATGCGTTCAGTCACATGGCTGCAGCAGCAGTTGCATGGGAGTTTGTTGCTGTTGCAGAGTTTCGTCCTGCAGAGGCTGCTGTTTTCTGCACCGACTGACTCTGTTAGAGGCTGTGAGGGAAAAAAAGAAAGTCGATGTTGGATCCAGTTCAGCTGCTTTTTCAGCCCCTGCTTTGTTTCAACAGCAGATGTCTCACAGGTTTCACTCAGTGACTGCCCCTCCCTCCCTCCCTCCCTCCCTCCCTCTCTTCTCTGTTTCTAGCGGTTGATCAAATAGCTCGAGAACATTTCATGTTTTGAATCAGTTGTAAACCTGTTGTTGTGTATTTTTTTCCCTCGGAGCAACATTTGTACTTCAATGAAACCTCACTGACTCCATCAGCAGGAACCACCGGCAGTGACTTACTGAGGCTCATTTTATTTCACCTCCCATAAATATCCAGATGTTTTTAAAGGAGCAGATGTGTTTATGAAAATGATTCGTGTTGATTTTATGTCCCCGTGCAAATCGTTTTGTTTCCTGCTGAGCACTTGTTGACACATGTTCACCAGAGTTTACAGTAAATAAGTGAGTTCAAGATGAAACTATAGTGATCGCAGATTTTCATTAGTGCAAACTCGTTTTTACAATTGACTGCATGTCCGTGGCAGCGTTAGTGATCCTCTGTCTCCTAAATCCAGAAAACTCTGCATGTGGCTTGAATATCTTAACACACACGTGTTGTTGAGGACCAATGTAGGATGTGGACATGTGATACCTTCAACACTGATAAACTTTGAGTGAGCAGGCGCCCGCCGCTCTGCAGCCGCAGCGATGTCATGATAACTGGTTCTCCAGCTCAGCTGAGTCGAGCTCCACAGAAATTTGAATAAACCGGTGAACAGCTCTTTGTGCACCAGCGGCTCATTATCAGCTGCCGCTCGATCACTGCAGGTGACTGTTACAGTTTCACCACAGGCCGAACAAACAGTTCAGTCCAAACAGGCGGGTTTATATTTGATCTCTGCATCGATGGTCACAAATCACCCTCCACAGTTCACAAAGGGTCTGAAATGGTTCCAGTGAAAAACGCCGTGTGGCCTGAGAATAAACAAAAGCCTGAGAGATTATCAACGCAGCTCGTGTGTGAGGTCGGCTGCTCCCGCTCTCCCTCATCCTGTCCACCTTCTCCCCCTTCCTGCTCCTCCCTGCTGACCCACAGGAACAGGATTAAAGACACTTGTGCTCTACAATTAGTCTGCACCCGGCAGGCTCCTGTCCTGGGGGTAATCCACTGCACACACACAGTCTCAGGATGCACACATGTAAACACAGGAAGCATCATGAGTGCACTATTGGCAGGAAGTTGAGATACGCTGTTACTGCTGCTGACCCAGACACTGTTTCTAACGTGTCTTCAGATGATCCCGTGTTTCTGACTCAGCTGAAGATTAGAGGGGGTTTTTTTTCTCAAAACTCTTGAAGAAGGATTTTTCAGCTTTAAAGCAGCTACTTGTCCCGAGTGTCATCACAGTGAGGCTTAAATCTGATGGTAAACTTCTTATAGCTCACGAGGGGCTACTCATCAGGTCAAATGTTAATTTGAATAATTGTTCGGGGACATCAAGGCATCGAGATGTGTTTTATTTTGAAATGTTTAAGAGCAGCGCGAAGTTTTGCCTCTAGGGGGCAGTGCAACAAGCTGCAAACACAACATGGAAACATGATGGTTAAATTGACATGCAGCAGGATTATCATCCACTTCCTCCCATTGTACAAAAACGAAGCTGAATATTCCCGATATGGGCGCTGCCATCTTAAGGCATCGCAACAACCTGGACACGAGTCGAGTGTGTGTGTGTGTGTGTGTGTGTGTGTGTGTGTGTGTGTGTGTGTGTGTGTGTGTTAAAGCAGCATTAATGGGGTTTTTACACTGGGGGGCAGTGCGACGAGCTGGAAACACAACACAGAGACGTTGCTGTCTTTTAAAATTGATATTTACTCGTTCAGTGAAGCGTGTGTTAAAGCAGCATTGTTACACTAGAGGGCAGCGCAACAAACACACAATTATGGACATGGATATTTTATTATGTTGATATTTGTGTGTGTGTGTGTGTGTGTGTGTGTGTGTGTGTGAATGAACTCATTCAGACAAAATACACACAGACAATGGAAAACCGAGCACATTGGTTCAAACAAATATGATCACACACACACACATACCCAGAGAGAGAGGGGGACGGAGAGAGGGAAAACAGAGGGAAAGAAAGAGAGAGAGAGGAGGTAAAGAGAGGTAGAGAAAGTCTCTCCCTCCTGCAGACAGTGTTTTGAAGTCTCCAGGCTCTTTGACTGTAACTTCATTAAAACGCAGCACGAGTGAGGGGGAGAGGATCTGGCTCGGTTCATGTTTGTGCCGACATTACAGCCTGTTGCTTTGTTTGTGTGTCTGACATCAGATTTAGAACTGTGCGTGTGTGTGTGTGTGTGTGTGTGTGTGTGTGTGTGT